ATTTTCGCCTTCCTGATAACTGTTAATGCAAACACCACACTGTTCTCTCCGATGCCACCACATTAGTCCTCTACTTAATTGTTAAATGTCTCCACACAGCCTTCAGGAAATAGGAAAAACTCCTCGGCAGGGCACACAAAGGCCCTCACCATCTGCTCTTTTCCTCCCCTTTGATTCTCACCAAGGGCCTTAAGCCCATAACCTCCAGCCTGACCCAAACCTTCCTGTTTCAGGGCAAGTGCTCTAGGCTGAAATGCCTCTGCGCACACACTGGGGAAGTCCCACCAGCCACCATGGGCCCCCCCCAAGGACAAACAGTCACTCAACTGGGCAGATGCCACCAGCTGGAACCGAGGAGCCTTGCAGAGAAGGAGGCCCCATAAGTGTTAACTGAAATGAACAACTTTTTATAGAGAAGAAAATAATTTTGTAGAGACACACTACTGATAAACACACACACATGCATGCACACACAGAATCAGAGTAATTATTGCCCCTGCTTGTCTGTTTTAAAATAATGTCAACTTATATAAAAGACCTTCTTAGTGTTACTTACTGGCAAACAGTCAAGAACCTAATCCATGATAAAGGGAACCTGACGCACTGTTAATTTGGATGTTGAGGATGTTCTGATCTCAGCCTATACCAAATACGCCATCACCTATAGCTACAATTTTTCATTAGGTAAAACTAAAACAACAAACATAGCCTTGGGTATGACACACTTAACAATGCCATGCTTTCTCAGTAACATCTAATTCAGACACTGATCATATCATTTGTTTTATTCAAGATTTTATTTTACATTTTCTTAGAACTGGAAACTCATGGGCAGCACACTAAGTAAAATAGTTATCAGGGCCGGGCACGGTGGCTCACACCTATAATCCTAGCTCTCTGGGAGGCCGAGGCGGGCGGATTGTTTGAGCTCAGGAGTTCGAGACCAGCCTGAGCAAGAGCGAGACCCCATCTCTACTAAAATAGAAAGAAATTAATCGGACAACTAAAAATATATAGAAAACAATTAGCCGGGCATGGTGGCGCATGCCTGTAGTCCCAGCTACTTGGGAGGCTGAGGCAGAAGGATCGCTTGAGCCCAGGAGTTTGAGGTTGCTGTGAGCAAGGCTGACACCACGGCACTCTAGCCCGGGTAACACAGTGAGACTCTGTCTCAAAAAAAAAAGAAAAATAGTTATCAAAAGTTGAGAGTCACTCTTGAAGTTCAACAAGCAGGCATTACATCATGAAATGGCCTTTGCCAGTCTTCTGAGTACTTTGAAATTTAAAAAGACTGTCTCTGAAATGAGTGTTTCAAATCAAATCAAACTTTTGTAAGTTATTATGATATAGACACAGGATTATCATGTAAAAGCTGAACATTCTTAGTGGAAATAAATTATAACAGAGATCAAATTATAATAAAGGCAGATATCCAAATTAAAGCATTGCATTTCTAGTAAAAAACAAAGCAAAAATGTAACGAATATTTCTTTCTTTTCTTTTAATGAACGCTGAGAAGTTTCTGAGTTTCCTTTTGTAAATAAAAAAGAGACAAAAATGTTCGAAATAGCCCCTTACTATAAGTTACTATGGAAATAAAACACTTTAATAAAATCATAGATGATTTAAATTTTGTAAATGATTGAAATTATATTTTAATCTATAATTTAAATTAAATGACATTTCAAGGTTAACCAATTACGGATTTGTCAGCCGTAAACTTATCCAATATCTTCCCGTTTTATTTTTGGCTTACATTCTTCAATCCTTGTTTCTCCTATTCTTGCCTCCTTTGACTATATAAACATGATGTTTACTGTACAAGCTAAAACTACAGAAAACCACAAAGACAAAAAATAAAATAACTCATAATTCTATCTTCCAAAGATAATTATTCTTTATGCTTTTGATAAATTACTTTCCAAATAATTAAAATATAATATAATATGAAATCCTACTCCTTAGATCTGTTTTACAATCTGAATATATTATGAAAAATTTTTTATACTATTAAATATTCATCTAAAGCATTTTATTGGTTATATAATTGTCCATTATATAGATATACATAGCTCATTAAACTAAACCCACATTGCAGTACATTTCCCAATCCTTTTAGAATTTTCCACTTTCAGTTTTATTGTCCTCTTAGAATGATAAGTTTTACATGCTTACTAACCATAAACTACATTAATATTTTTGTTATTTATCCTAAGACTTTGACTCATGTTCATTAAGAGCACTCTATATAGCTATATATAAATACTCTGTTGAAAAGGTTGTAATACAAAGCTTGGTATAAGTAAGCATCCCATAAAAGACAACTAAAGTAATGCCTAAATATATGAATACACATGTTCTTCAAGTTTCAGGGAACACCTTGGATTCTAATATTTTATTTGATGAATTCAGTTGTGACCATCATTTCTACTTGTATGATTTTATCAGCTTTTTCAGATAAGATGCCTGTAATAGCTTCTATCTTCCTGAGCAGAAGAAACGTTAATACTTTTTCACTCTCCTTCTTGTTAAGCAGATAATTCTCTGTGATTAGCTAAACTGAACTTACACATTAACACTGCTGATCTAGTCAAAGCAAATACTCTTGGGTTTTAGAAAGGGAAAGAAAACTCCTTCCTTCTCCCACTTTTGCTGATGTAATTTCGGTGCTTATCTCAAATTTTAATTCATTTCAACATTATAGAGGATAAATATTAGTTTAATATTTACTGACACACACTGTGTTCCAGATGGCTCTAATTCATATGGAAAAGCTTATAAGAGAAACGCTAACTAAAACTATGCTCAGATAAATCCTTCTTTCCTATTACATTGACAAAAACCTAAAGGTTTTTTGACATCCTCTACTGGAAACGCTTTGGGAAAGCAGGTACTGATCTACTCTTGGTGGTACTGCAAAATGGTACAATTGCCGTGAAGGAGAATTTGGCAATACCTGACAAAATTGCATACATGTTTACCCTTTGTTCTAGTAATCCTACTGCTAGGAATCTATCCCAAAGATACCATGGCTAAAAAGCAGCAGGGCATAAGCACAAAGCAGGACTCTTTGAAACAGTGAGAATGAAAATAAACCTACTACCCACAGATAAGGGGCTGGAGGAATAAACTACGGCGCAGCCACTCTGTGGAGAATTACGCAGCTGGAAAAAGGAGTGAGGAATAACTACTATGGAGCAATCTCTATATATATTGTCATGCGAATAAAGAAAGGTTGAGAAGAATGTGTGGAATATGCTTTCACTTATCTAGGGAAGTTAGGGGAATACAAATATGCATATGCATATGCTTATATTAAAATACAAAGATAAACCACCTTTTTGGCCTATACAAGGAGTGAACAAGGTAGAGGGGACAGGCATAGAAGCTAAGATTCTTTTTTTAAAATTTGTTCAAGCTTTATTGAGATATAATCGATATATAAAAAAACTATACATATTTCATATATACATTTTGATAAGTCTTAAGTACCTATAGGTTTTTTTGAATATACCTTGTTTTGTACAGATGAGTCTGGATTTTTTGTCTGATTACCTACTGAAACAGCCTGAAACCACTAAGCAACCAGCACCCCTAGCGCTCACACTGAGGTCTTAAAATACCACTTCACATCAAAAGATACCAGAGCTCTTTGGGGAAATGGCTGATTCCTGTAGCAAAAACTGTAAAATATGGTCCTTTATCATCTTAAAATATCATATAGCAAGAAAATGATCAAAAATTATTGAGATTAAAGATGAAACAATGTGAGCATCAGCAAGTACAATAACATGAAATTTACTATTGGGTACATTAATAGACAAACGTACATTTTCCTTCATAGAAATATTCCAGCTAATAAGTTAATAAAGAGTGATAAATTAGAGTAACATCATTTTGCAATCCTTAAAGAATTAATGGATCTGGCATTGACCACCACTCACGCATTATGTGCCTCCTGAGAAATGCTACAGAACAAATGACCTGATCTCTTCAATAAATAATTGCAAGGAAAAAAACATAAAAATGAATGAGGAAACTTTTAATGTACAGTCATATAATGATCTCCAGGACAGAGGTGAAAAAAGTAAGAGGAAGAGCAGTGTTTATAGTATGCTACCATTTAAGTAAAAACATGAAAAAAATATAAATATATTTTCTTATATAGTCATAAACTATTTCTAAAGAGATACAAAAGAAAAGAAATGTTGACTCTTATCTTTTGGGTGGCCAGGAACAGTATATGAATAACATTTTTACTATAGAACCTTTTGTATCTATGGAATTTTAAAACATGAATTTATTATTACACACACAAAAATTAAATAGAATAAAATCATAAAAGAAGCAAGGGTAAGTATTACCATAACACTGTAGTTATATAAAATGTCCTTATTTATAAGAGCTGAATCCTGAATTATTTGTTAGTAAAACGTTGTTTCCATACACTTGGAGATATTTAAACAAAAAGAATACATAAGCAAATATGAAAATATTTTAACAATTGTTAAATATAAGTTTTGAGTACGTGAAAATTTATTATATGATTTTATATACTTTTCATGACAAAAAGTAAAACAAAAAATTCTTAAATACAATGAAAATAAAATGTTAAATGCTAGCCAGATACTGCCTATGAAAGCATTAAGCCTGAGGCCTACTCTTTCTCTACTAAAATAGACAAATATCACAGACTAGCCCCAAACCGAGACTCTTTCCTTGATGTAATCAGAAAGAGAGGCTCAGCAGAGTGGGAGAAAGAGAAGGAATAAAGAGACCTCAGACAGCTGTCCGCTGTGACAATTCATTACATATTGAGCATCCGTCTGTACATCAAACTTGAAAGATATCTTAAAATTTATTTCAAGGAATGAAGACAAAAGCCAACTGAACGAATGAGAAACTTTATAACCCTAAATGCCTTTCTTTAGAAATAACAAGGTATATTTATTGGTCTGCAACCTCTTGGTATGACCAAAGGCAGACTGAAGTGCACTTACTTTTTGCTTGCCTCACAGACATCTGTAATATTGGAGAAAAGGTGGTGCCTCTCGGTTTTAGTCATGGTATCGCTCAGTTCTTTAGAATTTTTAAACATGCGAATCAAGATTTCCAAGCTGAGTAAATATGAATGTTCAGAGGATATGACTTCAAAGATAGCCTGGTAAGAAGGAAAAAAAAGTCTTAATTATTTTAATTGGAGAACTAAATACAGCTCTTGTAATTCTGCTATAAGAATGACATAATATCTTGAAAAGTGCAAAAAGATAAGCGTTGAGAAAACTGCATCACCAAACTACTGTCTTTATATAAGGCACATCTCAAGAAACAGTCACTGCCTGCAGTGTATATAGGAAAAAATGAAAGCATTTGGATGACTTGACATTGCATCCTGAGGTCATGCCTTTGCCCAGGGCTAGAATCTATGGAAGGAAGCCAGGGTATGTCATAAAATCTCAGTATGACACTAATTAACCTTTGGGGTCACCTCCTCCAGCCCTGCTTTCAAAGCATGCTGCTTCAGCGACAGTAAGGATTTATGGTCAGCACTCGGGATTCAGAGAAAATTTCTCACAAATGTCTTCCTTCACTCCCCTCTCATGCGTGCTCTTTCTCTTCCTATGTTTTATTCTTATTAATTTGCAGTCAATAAAAGCAAATATTCTGGGGTGACTTTACCTACCCTTAAAGGGTTCTTATCAGCCAAAGAAATTCTTTTATATAAACTCATACAATTGAAAGTAATTCCATCCATTCAACAAGGCATCCTCTCTACTCTCCTCAGTGTCTCAAGGAGCAAAGGACCCCTCTGCAGAAACTCTTGGTGTCAGGCACACAGTGGTTTTCCTGATAAGTGTTAATGATGAAATGCCAACCCACACATGTGGATAGACACCAACGCCCTGTGTAAGGAATTCATCTAGCTCCTTAACAAAATCAAATTCAGATCCTCTAAAAATGGCAATGCAGGGAGAATTCCTCGGCCTGAGATTCACATCCTTCCTGGAAAGCTCCCCAGTAACACTGCTTACATCACCCTGACCTCCAGGGCTCTACCTCTTCAAGCTCTTGCCCCAAGAGCACTGGAGGGCACAGGGGAGGCACAAGCAGGTGGATGCCCAGCTGCTGTTGAGTGGCGCATACTTTGTAAGTCACATTAGAAGTATTAATCTCAGTGTTCATCCCCCTTTTTAGCATCCACAAGGTGCAGAGACCTGGGTGTCACTTAAACGTGCTGTTCTAGCCTCAGCTGTGCTCCAGGCAATTAAGTGACGGAACTACCTGAAGAGTAAGGAGTAAGAACATTAAGAGTCTCATCTAAATTGTGTCTTGTGTAATTCTATTCAATCAATACAATGATCCCCAAGAAATATAATATAAGGCAAACTAAAGAAAATTCTTCCTTTCTGACCAAAAGTTGCAGATTGTTGATGGATATGGTGCCTTGGAATGACTTAAAATATTTTCAACAACTAAAGCTTGTGTAATCAAATCCGAAATACTAAAATTGAGCAAAAAGACAGAATAAACTATTTAGAATAGATCACATGAAAAGGTAAATAATTGGTAGTTTAATACAAGGAACTGTAAAGTTACATTGGCTGCTGTCGTTACTTTTTGACTTGCGAGTCTGAATAAATATTTTCAGAATATAAAAGAAATAGACGCAGTTCAAATATATAAGATTTAAAAGAACAGAAATGTCCAAATAGGATGAAGTACCTTGGAGAAACTTTTGAATTGAAGAGAGAGAAACATTCTTTCATGCCACAATGTTAACAATGATGAAAAAAGTACCCCCTACCGTCCATCATTAGGAAAATGGATAAAAAATTTATAAAGGTGGTATTCACAGAATATAATACTATATAGTGGTTGAAATGATATAGATTAATATGCATTAACATGAATAAATCTCAAAAACAATGTTGAGTGCAAAAAGTAACCAAAAAATATGTACAGAATCATACCATTTATATACATTTTAACACATACACACAAATATGTCTGTGTGTACGTGTGTATATAATACATGATTTAAAAACACAGATTGGAAGGATATGCATCAATTCATAATACAGTTGTCTCTGGGGAGGAAAGGAAGAGAATGGGACTGAAGAGGAGTATGTAGGAATTCTACTTCATCAAAAGTTTTATTTTCTTTAAAAAACATTAAGAGAAATTACAAATGTAATATATTCATTCATTCTCAGTGGATGTGTATATCAAAGTTCTATACTATTAAGCTTTCTTAAACTTAAAAAAAGGCACTATAATGCACTTTTGTATTTTTGCTTTATTCCATGCCAATGAAATAAGAAAAGGTTATCCTCATGTCCTCTGTGGAATTAATTTATATGTATGTATATGTATAGACATATATATATGCATATACATACACATACATATGCATAAGGCAGGAGGAAATTGCTTTGAGAATTTCACAATATTATTACAATGAGCAATTTTCTTAAACTGCATTTATTTAAACTTCAAGCTGTAAAACTCTAGTATTATCTGTTTTATTTTTAATTAAATAAACATAGTTTTAGATTTATAGAAAATTTGCAAAGAGGGTTCAGAGTTCCTTGCATCTTTCACCCAGCTTCCCCTAACCAAGGTACCTTACATAACCAGGGTGCATTTGTCTACAGACTAAAGTACACACTTTATTCAGATTTCACCAGCTTTTCCACTAACATCCTTCTTCAGTTCCAGGAAGAATGTCGATTTCATTTTTCAACATATTTCTTCCAGTTTAAATACCTGGACTAGGTGCTTTGTTGTTTGAATTCAAATGATGTTGAGGTATTTAAATTTTTTTCTTATCTGAAGGCTTATGTGTAGCTTTATTTAACAATGATCACTAACTACTTTTGTAAAAAGAAAACAAATACATTTCCAAAGGGCAACACTGAACAAGCACACACAGTAGGTGAAAACACAAAAGAGCAGCACCCACATGCACACTTCAGAGCTCTAAAGCATCTGCTTGGTGGAAACATACCTCTTGTCTCTTTCTTTCCTCCTGGCTTACTGTCTGAGACAATCCATTTCTTTTCACCTAGGAGAAAAAGCACAATAGAGTTTAACTCATTTACTTAAAGTTTCTTTATTATGTAAGGCATAACTCTATGCCCTTCAAAAATGAAGAGAAATTATGAAAAACGTTGAATTTAGCACATTAATTTTCCGTTCTCAACACCCTCAAATAACATTTAATCCATGAATAAACTAGCATAGTTCAACACTGAAGAAGTGAAAAGTGTCTAGAACACAATCCTATCAAATTGAGTTTTTCTGTTCTAGTCTTACTTCTGGATATTCCTAAAATACATACCACACTAATCACCCAAATCATAAATAAAGAAATTTGATAATAAAGAAGATGAATTCACCGCTCTGAGACTTTATTGTTCAGGCTCACACACTGAGAAAGTAATTTGAACACTATTTTCCATAAAGACTCCATGGAATACAAGTGTTCTTTATAAAAATCCAATCAAAAAAGAAAACAGTCCCCTCCTCCATTCCAAGTTTCAGTAGTCTTTCAGTATACTAAATTTGACAAATAAAGATGCTAGTTTGAGAAGCTTTTTTGTAGCTATAGTACCTACAGGAACCATGTACACAGTACCGTACTTGGAGTGATGTAGTGGTATCGTTGGTTGAATCCCTGCAAACCTATCTCAACTGCCACATATTAGACTGTTGCAGCTCCCATCATAAGTCAGTCTCTAAACCAAAGAGTGGAGGTTGACCTATGAATTCCATGAAGACAGGACCTGGAGTCTCTTCTGGTACACCTGGCACTGAGTCTGGCACATGATAGACATTCATGTTTCTCAGTCAAAGATTAAATTAGCAAAAGGTAAGGCATATGTAAAACACCAACCAACAAAATCCTGTACTTCTTAAAACACAAAATTTTAAAACGATGTTCCCAAGACCTAATTTTAAGTTGACATCTAATATTTTTTATCACAAATTTAAAGACTTAAAAAGATGTATTTTCCTGCTAATTGTAAATCTAAACATATTAGAATGTGTTACTATACACTTTTAAATATATTCAGTGGAATGTAAAAACCATGATTTGACACCCACTGATACTCATTTAAAAGTGAGCTTTCCTTAACAGATATTTTATATTCTTCTTTCTCCTTGAAATCACATTTCTATTTCCACTTCCCCCCGTTTTCTTAATGTAATATAATTCTATGTGTGAGAGTCTCATTACTCATCCTAGCAGATGTAAATAATAAGTTTTTAAATTTAATTTTAAAAAATTTCCTGTGATTGTTAAGCTTTAAGTATACAAGATTCCAGTACAAATATCATTAATAACCTATAATCAAAACAACACAATTACTTCCAATTTCAATGCATTAAGCATGAAAAGTAAAGTTTTATTGAGATTGCATCTCTTACTGAGATGGGGGTTTATGGTAACTTAATTAAAGGAGAGTTTGCTGAAACCAGTATTTCAAACTGACCCCCTTCACGTGAGGCCCCAGTGGTTTTACACCTTGGGACATGGCACGATGGTAAGATTTGAGATGCATAAGATCTGAGATGCCTTTCTGTGGTAAAATGGCAAAAGGGCAGCTATGAAAAGGAGGTGGGAAAGACAACTGCTTAACACGTTAACTGCAGATGCAGTCTGTTTTAGAAAGGGGAACCCAGAAGATGAGGATCTGGAAAATGGTATCCTCAAAACTATTTCTGTCCATCCTTACAAAGTCATCATGAATCCCCAGGAGTGTGATGCATACTCTAATGTGAAGAGAGCTGGTACACAGTTCTCTCTACATTGTCCTGTCGTGAAAAAGAAAACAACTTTTTCCAGTCTTTGGAAAAAGTTAGAAAGCAGTATAGTAGAGTAGAAAATCAATAGTAAAATCAGCAATCATTTACTAAACATTTATCATGTACCAGGAAATATGCTAAGCGTTTTATACCCCTTTTCCCATTCAATCCTCATAAAAATCCTAGAAAGTTGATACTGCTCTTATTCTCATTTCACAGAAGGTTTAGAATCCAAGAGCACACAGCTAACAGGTAGCAAGGCCAGGATCTGCATCCATGCATGTCCAATTCCTGGGCTCATGCTTTTAGTCATGCTTTATATGGGTTAGGAACCCCCTGTTTTCTATGAGAGGCACCCCATTTCTAGGATTGGGATATCATCACTAAGACCCCTTCTAATGCCAGGTCTGTACCAGTTTCCATGTGTTTTTTTGGTCTACCTACATTGTGGAATGTTCTAAGCCTTACCCACCAGCCTAACCCTGGGTCAGCCTGTCAGCAATAATTCAAGGCTAAAAAGGCTTCTTCACGTATTTTAATAAGGGAGGAGACTGGCCAGAAGAATGAGACCCTTCACAGCTGTTACCTTTGATTAACCCTGAGCAGGAATTTCACAGGATTTCCTGCATGACACACAGTCCTGGCAGATGGATATGCAGGTGCCATGCCCACAGTCTACAGGTAAGGCCACCAGGAAGAATTTCCACAGCACTGGCATCTCCACCCAAATAGAGTTCAGACCCAAAAATCTTATGGGGGAGAGAATGAAACACCCGGGCTTAGAGACTTACCCAGATGACAGCTAGTTTACTGAGGGATTAAGAGTATTTCATTCTATCAAAAAGAGGGGAAAATCCACAGCTAAAGTAGTTGCTCTTTTGAGGGGGAAGACAAGGTAGTTTGGGAAAGGGTAAAATATTAATGTACAGAATTATCATCTTTCACTAATACTAACATGACAAATAGTAAAATATTTCTTTAATTAAAAAGCCATCCTGTAAGGAACCAGTGGCTCACACAAAACTACTGTAATAGAAAAAAAAAAGAAATTCCAGGAAGTGTTCCTGGATTATGATTAAGAAAACTGAAGTGCAGCACACTGGGGAGCCTGAAAGTTTACTCTAGAGAGTTTGACAAAGCAGCTAGCTCACTGCGGCTGGCTGCCAGGCCACTGCCCCCAGGTCTGTCCTCCCACTGCCTGCCCTCCTGCCTCAGCCCCTCCATATTCTCTAACAGGACAGGTTTGCCAGCTTCTTCCTCCAGAGCCCAGAGAAATCATTTTGTCTGCCTGAGGCCTTCCACAGTCAACTCTAAATCAAGTAGCACCTGAGAGCAGGTGCCTGGGGTAGAAGGGCATGAGCAGGCAAGATGATGTCAGAGACTGGAAGTGTGGAGAGATGAAACCAAAGAGGGGGAGAGAGTGATCCAAAAAGGGGGCCCCAAGAAGCTGGCAGAAGGCAGAAAAGAGACAATTAGGGGAGAATGAGAACACAGACACATAATATCAAGTGGAAATAAACGAGGAAGGAACCAAGGGAGACAGGAAGGGAGGGAGGGAGAAAGGAAAAAGAAGGAAAGAAGAAGAAATAATATGTACAAAATTTGTAATAGGAAATACCTATGGAAATTTTCAAATTAAAAACCAGTGACCTTATCATCGTACTTAAGTAAAAAATCATTTGAAGGCCCAGGCTTTGTTTGCATGAAAAAAATATGTATAAAGCATATGTTTATACCTATACTTTTAAAACGTACATGCTTTTTGCAGTTAGCACGTTTTTGCTAAGAGAATCTAAAGCATTGCCAAGTTTATCACATTTCTGCAAATGCTCCCCTTGTCTCTATTTGTGGAAAAGAAAAAATAAAATACCATCTTCTAAAACCTATGAGTCCTATTTACTATCTAAAGTGAAAGAAATCTAAAATTGTACAGGATCCTTTTCATTTTTAAAATATACATTTTATACTAGAGCTCCAGCCGGGTACAAATGGGAACAAACAACCAGCCAAAGCAACACTCCTTTAAACACATGGACAGCCAAAGCAACCTCAACTGAACTTTCTTATTCCTCACTGGCTTAAATTTCTTATTTAAATATGTCATCAACAAGTAGAATTGCAAAAGTAATTTAATGAAGCAGTAAGAACTGGATTTAATTTGAGGTTTTTGTTTTTGTATAATTTAACCAAATTCATGAATCTGCTCAAATCTGGCCATGGAAGACTCCAGACTCTAAAGACAAAGTATGAACACATGTCAGTATCTTCAACATTTTAAGTGAATAACAATTAATTCAAATCAAAAAAACAGAATGTGCAAGACTATAGTTCTGACATATTAAAAATATGAACATATATCTGTGGCTTGTCAAGATAGTGAATACATAGAACTCACTGTTATAATAGTTTTAAATTCATAATTATAAATTATATATTCACTGTTTCAATCAATGCTGAAATTCTTGACCTGTGATCTTTGTAACTGATATATTCTGCATGTCCAAAGGAGACAGAAAGGAATAATTGGCTATGCTTAATATTGAACACTACAAGATACTTCTATGGATATATATTTCTCTAGTTAGACCCAAAACATACTTTATGAAATTTATAAAACAGTAAACACCCTAAATTATTGACCAAAAAGTTAATCATTAGATACTTCATCTAAGATTCAAGTTGGTTTCCTTCTTGATCCCTTGTGCCATGGTCCGAATGTCTGTACCTGCCGCCCCAACCCCTCAATTCATGGGTGAAATCCTAACCCCCAAGGTGACAGCATTAGAAGGTAGAGGCTTTGGGGAGGTGATTAAGCTCTGCCCTCATGAATGGGATTAATGCTCTTAAAAAATAGGTCCCATAGAGACCCCTCACCCCTTCCACCATGTGAAGATACAGCAAGTAAGCACCATGTGTGAGCCAGAAAGCAGCCCAAATACTGAATCTGCCTTGATCTCAGACTCCCCAGCCTCAAGAACTGTGAGAAATAAATTTCTGTTGTTTATAAGCTACCCAGTTTATGGTTTCCTGGTATAGGAGCCCAAACTAAGCCACCTTGCCAGTCTGAGCTGCTCAGGTGAATATCCTACGAAGGAAGAGACAGGCTTAGGCAGTGAGTCCATTACTGCAGTCAGCACGGTTACACTAAGCATCTTCACCTGACAGAGAGCTGTGTCAGGAAAACCAAACACTTTGTGCAATATTCCTGGGTCTTCGACTCCACTAACTGGAATAGGTTATGAGTCAAGTTCTCTA